CAAACCCACAAAAACCAAGCTTATATGCAGGAGTGGCACCCACTTCCAAAATAGCTTGCCTCCTGAAACTCTATGAACTTGGAGAAGTAAAGTAACACTAAATGTCAATTTTAGTTCCATTTCTGTAGAGAAGCCTTTCCTGACCTCAAATAACCTGTTTATAAACACTCTCTGATGAATCCATGTCATTTTTATCACTTTTATCAGCTATATCCTACAATTACTTGTGCAAGTAATGAATGTCTCCCACGCATCCACTTCCTAAATAACATGCCTCTGGAAACTCTATGAACTTTGATAAATGACAATAGTTATAGAAAGACTCCAGGCCTTTTGTTCATAGGGTCGCGATGAGTTGTGGTTGACTGGATGGCAATCAACAACAACCATTACCATCACCATTAAACTGTAGCTTCCAAAAGGACAGAATATACATAGCACTAGTAATGCAACTAGTATATAATCATCACAGAGTTAACTACTGAATATTTCAATAAATAAACTCTAGCTAATGAATTCAAAGATGACTCATATTGCTTACTGAAAATTTTATTTTGCCAAAGCAGAAAGCAATTACCAATAAAGTAAACCATCATGAAGTATCACTAAAATATATTTTAATAGCTTCTATGCTAAGTATTAGCAATTTCATAAAACAGGTATATTTTCTGTTTTAGTGTCTATGGCAGCATTGCAACTTTTAGGATCCTACACTAATTTTTAAAGAGTACCTGGCATTTTTAGCCACTGGTCCACACACAGTCTTGCTGCTTCTGTATCAGAATGTCCTCGAATAAATTCCAATTCTTGTAACCCATGAGCATGCTGAAAATCAACTCTTTCCTAAGGATATTAAAAAAAAATGGATTAAACTATAATTGCTTTCCAGTTTTTGTTTAAAGAGATTTTAACACATCAGTGATCAAAAAATACTCTGATAACTTTTTTATTAAATGTTTTTATTAATGATTTTTAAATGCAACATATATATTTTTTTACAGTATATTCTTTCCATTTAATTTTTCCCCAGTTGCACATTGTCCTCCCCGACCACATCTTCCCCCCATTTCATTTTTCTCTTTGAAGAAAAAAAATTTTTTCATAACTCTTTATCAATGTAATTTGATACTATCTGAGATGATCTCAATAAATTACATAGTACAATTCATGTCTTAAGATGTTGATCTCAAAGTCAGCTCTGCTTGCACCAAGTTTACCAAAGCATATTATCTTCAACAAAAGGCCATTGTTAAGTAAATATGTGACACATATTTGATGAAATGTTAACTATGATTATTCAATAACATGGGAGTCTATTTTTAATACTAGGCAATCAAACTGTATAAAACAAATGAAGCCAAGTACAAACAGCAAATTCCAATCTATAACCAACTGTATATGCAGAGAAGGGGGAAAAAGACTGAAAATATCTATATTAAATCCCAATAATGTATATCTCACAGAACAAAAGTATTCATTTTCTTTTTAAACTATTTTTAATCATTTTAATGAACATTTACAGAGAATTTGGATTTCCATTCATTCATTGCTGCATCTTTTTAAACTTTTATACATTTTTCAGATTTTTTATATATTTATATATATGTATTTTTTTATATATAATCTAAAAAGCTATACTGAAGTCTGTTTAGTAAGTATTATTAGTAACATAGACTCATATATATTACTGTATAAAGCACATGGCAAACTTTCTCTGTTTGTAAAGTAAATATAGTAAATGCACATAGTAAATGCTTAGGTCTTTCAGGCCCAACAGTCTATTTCAACTGCTCAACTCTGCCACGGCAGTGGAAAAGCCCCTATAGATAATATGCAAATTAACAAGTGTGACTATGTTCCAACAAAATGTAATACAAATAAGTAGTCCTCAGGCCACAAGTATGGCAATCAATAAACTTTATCCTTTTAGATTTTACTGAAGGAAAATCTCTCATCTTTCTAAATAGCTACAGCAGCTGAGCAGGGCTCCATTACTGACCGACTGTCTCTAAATTATTTATACGTACTTAAAAAAGAAATCAATGTCTCATACACTGACTGGCCTGCCTGATAAATGACAGAATATAATGCATGGCCTAATTAGAAGTGTTAATAAGGTCGTTCAATTGGCAAGGGAAGGGGAAATCAAAACTTTAATCTGAAGAAAATCTTCTGAACACACTGTTAAAAGCACAGACATAGAATTAATAATTCTCAAGGATGCTAATATATGTATATATTATCTGGAATCAAGTTAAAATACATACAAAAACAGTTTTAACACAAAATTGAAATTACTTCGTTAATGCAGGCCTTTCAATACTTTAAAACACTGACATGTACTGTAATTGTCCATTCACAGAAAGTAGTCCTGGGGCTACCAACATCAGTTGGTGTGACTTAATTTGAATGTGTAACTAAATTTAAACAGGTGCATACAATTTTCCTTTAGCCTTACTTTAGTGCAACAAAAGGCTCATAGTCTTTTTAATGATTTAAAAACTACATGTGTAGCAAATGAAGTTGATCGTGGTAAAGAGTATTTTGTAGGTTATTTCAAGATAGGGTAAATTTATGTAACAGTGCAAGTACAAGTTGTACATAAGTCAAATGTTCGTATCTTGGAGACTTTAGTGTATACAGTATTAAACTGGTAATTCATCAAGTACTTATTCTCAAGGAGTAATCTGTAGAATCAATGCTCTGATATATCATGTATGTTTTATCATGTAAAATCAAAGCTTTATTCAAAGAAAAAAATGAGGCAAGCCTCTGTTAAATTCTGTCAAAAACACCTTCTTAGGTATAAAATAAAATCATTCCTCAAAAGAATCCATTACAATAAAAACTCAATACGATAAAAAAAAAACCCTTTAAATGTTTTCAATTATTTCTTTAAAATAAATGTAAATCTGTGGCCATTAACATTTGATACTGGAAAAGCTCCTGATTGCTGACATCATCCCAAAATTCTCAGTGATAAAGCTATTTCCACAAACTTAAAATACTTAAGACCTTGCAAGTTATCTTAACTCTTGGAATGTTAATATTGTTGCTGCTATTGAGAACTGTGAGTTGGAACCAACTAAAAGTTTGACTCTATATCAAAGTAGGATATTAAAAAAAAGAGACTACAGAAATAAACAAAACCTTTTATAATTACTAAATGATGACCGTGAAATACAGTTGCTAATAGAACTATGATTTCCATTTTCAAACTTCTGGCATATAATTTTGAAACAAACTCAACATTCTACTCGTTAATAGTCTTATTTGTCAGAATTGAGAAATTCAAAGTACTTTCACATGAGGATCTTCTAAATGAAGGAAAACATTTGTATAATGCAAAATTTTAAATTAGGCTTAATTTTCCACCAGAACTCTCTTACAATCTCTACTACAATCAGCAAATAGGTAGCATTCTAATTCCTAAACGTTTCATAATAAATTTAATCTGGAGGTTAAGCTGAAGTTTAAGAAAATGGTCTAGTTCTATTTCATAGAAAATAATCTTTCAACAGTTTACATCTACAAAAGAACTGAGATAAATTCTTTTTATTAAGTGTAACTCAGTAATCATTTGCTTTGAGGACATTCATGCTTTTTAACTTCCAGATATCAAGCCCATTTAATTCCTTTTTTCTCTGCTATCAGATTATTTTTTATGGCTATCAGATTGTTGTTGTTATGTGCCTTAGAGTTGACCACAATGCATAGCAAGCCTATGAACAAGAGAATCCTCAGGATCTCTGCCATACTGAGCACATTGCTACAGTCATTGTGTCAGCCTAATGAGGTCCAAATCCCAGAAACTAAAAACTGAGATGTTAAAGGCAATTATGAATTACTATTAAATTGATGATCTACCCAGGAACAAAATGAACATTGATTCAATTAAAAGATTTTTGATGGTTTCTCAATACAAGTACATAGCTAAATGAAACCAATTAAAATGGCCACATACCCGAAATGCTCTATTTTTCTCTTCTTTCTGCTGTTTCTCCACTTCAACATGGCGGGCCAGACGAGCCAGAGTTAAAGCAACTTTATCCTGCTGATGTTCAATATAATCTCTATGTTTAACATGCTCCTATAAGCGAAACAAAAAATTTTATTCTTTTCAACCAACAAAATTCATATAACATATTAATTCACTAACATATCCAGTTATCAAAGTTAAACTAAAACCCAAAACAAAAAAATACTAATTTCAATCATCAATTTTCTGAGAATATTTTTCAAGTATTTTGTAGGTTTGCCAATGTCCCAATAATATCTTTAGTTTTGGAAAAATTAGAGGAACTATATGCTGAAACACTGATCATCTCTATACAGTTCTATACATTGCTTTGCAGTAGTGAGTTACTGTACAATAAGTTAGTATAAAAACAACTTTAGCTCTGGTTTTCCATCAATGTTGCTAGGACCGAAGGTATTAAAGGAGAAACTTTTCATTAAAAAAAAAGAGGTTACCTGACTTTTCTAGTATAAAGACTGGATTGCTAATTAAAATATGACTGCTTAAGAGGGGTGAGAATGGTCAGGGAGGAAAATCAGAATCACAATTTGGTGGCTGAAGGGAATCTGGAAAGACAGGGTAATGGAGGGCATACAGTTCTATGGCGATTATTTCATGAAACATCATGAACAAGTTGTGAAAAACAATGTACGCCAAGTTTGTAAATAATAAAATTTTTACAAAGAAAATTTTTTTAAAAAACCCATCAAGAATGGGAATGACTGCATCAAACACAATGTGAATGAAGAATAGTGTGAAACACAATGTATACAAACTTTGTTAACAAACCAACTGCTGTTATATGCCATTGAGTCGCCTGAGATTCATAGCAACCCTATGTACAACAGACGTAAATCCTGCTCTATCCTGTACCAATCTTAAGTCTCCGACACACCTATCTCCATCACCTCAGTCACTGAATCAATCCATCTCATCAAGGGTCTTCCTCTCCTGTGCTGTCCCTCCACCCTTCCAAGCACGATGTCCCTCTCCAAGGACTGATCCTGCCTTGCAACAAGTCCAAAGTATGTCAGACAAAGCTTCAGAATACTTGTCTCCAAGGAGTAGAATGGCTTTACTCTCTCCAGGACAGGACAAACTTTTAGTTCTCCTAGCAGTCCATTCAATACTGTTCTCCAGCACCATGGCTCAAAGTCATCAATTTTCCTTCCATTATCCCTAGTCATTGTCCAGCTTTCTGTATAACAGAAAGGCCTATATCAGGAGCACCTTAGTTCCCCAGACTGACATTACAGCTCTACAGTACTTTGGAGAGGTCTCTGACAATAGACATTCCCAATGCAATTTGTTTTTTTAATTTCCTGGCTGTTGGTACCAAAAAGGTTGATTGTAGAACAAAGTAAGTAAAGCTGTTAACAATCTCAATCTCCTCACCATCTATCATGATGCTGCCAATTGGCCCAGTGGTGAGAATCTTTGTTTTCTTGATGTTGAGCTTCAATCCATATTGAAAGCTGCAGTCCTTGACCTTCAACAGCAAGCCCTTCAGGTCCTAAGTTTTAGCAAGCAGGGTTGTGTCATCTGCACAGTATCGACTGTTGATGAGTCTACCTCCAATCCTAATTTCTCCTCATAGAATCCAGCTTCCAGTATACACTGTTTTGCATATAGTTTGAAAACGTAAATTAAAAATGTAACTGCTTAGACAAATTAGTCATATATGTAAAACCGAAAGTTTATGTAAAATGGGCAACAGCTGCACTGTCAAGTCAAATAGCAGGTGTGAATTCTAAAGGAGATCAACACTAAATACTGTCCACATTCACTAAAAAATCTAATTGTATTTTAAGTATGTGGTACATCGTTGCAGCCAAGAATGTTCACAGGACAACTTTTCATAAAATAATCTTTTGATAAAGTATTTCACTTTTAGACTACTTGGTCAATCTATCTGCCACCATTTGCCACTTATACAAGATACTAATTGACATTCTAACCTTAAAATAGTCTTAAATCTGCAAAATGCAGATTATTACAAAATCACAAAAAGCTATTTATCTGTGCTTATCCCTAAGTAGAGACAGATTATTTCTTTTTAAGAGAAAATTAAATGTACACCTTAGGAAGAAGAAAAATACATACCCCACTATTAAAAGGAAGGAACTTTCTAGAACTGAAAATATAGAGTAATTAGGTAATGAAATAAGCACTCATGATATCATACTGTTAGTTTGAGGTTTGGATGTGACCTTCAAGACGTGACTTTTTATTCTGGAAGATAAGTATTTTGCTGAATGGAAATCACAAGACTTCAACCTCTGGGAAACAAAATTGCAAAACAGATGTGGACATGTCTTTGTACTGAGCTATAGGAGTATGTGGAGAGAGCTGGCTAAGGAAAAATGGTATTGTAGTCTTGAAAGAATGTTTCTTCTAAATTTGAAGGAAAATCACCTTCACAATCTCTCGACTACTTCTCCATCTCTTTTCACCACATAGAGAAACTATTGGAGCAGGGTGGTATGTATGTTGATTCTGAAAGTGTCAGTGTCAGTATTATAAATGTGGCCAAAAGCTCCCTTATAAAGCTAACAACTCCTTTAATTATCCACTCACATCTTTCTTTTGCACTGGTCACACGTTCTTGTGGACTACTCAGGAACCTGGTGACTCCATGTCTGAGAAAGTCCATGACAATGATCACACTTTTCTCTCTCTTCCAATATTTCTTTAATGTATCAGAGTCCTACCATTATTAAACAGGTAGCAACTGACCTAATAAAAAACTGCATTCAGTGGGGTCAGTGGCTGCTGGGCGGGCAGGGCGCAGGCCACGAAAAAAAACCAACCAAACAAACAAAAAACTGCATTCAGGGGGAGCTTTGGTGGCCTAGTGGCAAGGAGCTGCAACTAGAATCCCAGAGGCGTACGGTTCAAATCCACCAGATGCTCTGCTGGGGAAGATGGGACAATCTCCTCCTGTACCAGTCAGATGTGATTTGACGGTACACTCACACAAAAATAGTAAAATAAAAAATTTTAAATTAAAACTGCCTTCAATTTATTTCCTTTAAAATAAAACCATGTCTTGAGACTTAAAAATTACAGTAAAGACTAAAAACAATTTTATATTATACAAGTTAATAAGATTTGAGATATAGGATTAGAACATTGGCTTTAATGACAGATAATGCATTTTTAATTTTTTTTTTTCATTTTTGTACATTTTCCTCCCTCTCTACTCCCCAGAGATAGTATATTTTAGATAAGAACCATGGGGAGGAAGAAAAAGTATGCCTACAAAAAATAAAAACCAAACAGTAACTGGTAAATTAAATGAACCAAGGAAAACAGACAATAAAATCAGAAGCTGGTTCTTCAAAAGGATTAATAAAAGTAACAAAACTAGCAAAAAGAAAAAAGATGCAATTAACTAAAATAAATGACAGAGAAGACATTAAAAGAAAATGTGTAATAGTGAATGAATTTTTAAAAACCCAAAACTGGCCTGATGAGAGGGAAAAAGAATGAGAAGATATTAATAATAGTTACATAGTGAAAAACTATGTAACTAAGATTAGCAAAATCATGATAGACTGAGAGAAAATTCAAATTGTCAACAATTTCATCTTACATGGATCCACTTGGTACCAGCAATTCAGAGATTGGCAGATATACTGCACTGGGAAAGTTGGCTGTCAGGAACCTCACCAAATTACTGAGGAACATTAACGTCAGTATGAAGACTAAGGTGGGCTTGATTCAGGCCATGGTCTTTTCAAGTATCAAAGAGCTAGGCAGTAAATAAAGGTGACAGTAGAATTTATGCCTTGGAGTTGTAGTGTTGCAAAAGAGTACTGAATGTCCCATGGATTGCTAAAAGAACAAACAGATATGTCTTGCACAAAGTGCAGCCAAAATGCTCCTTGAAAGCAAAGATTACCAATGCTTCATCTCACTTACTTTGGGCATGTTGCTGGTTTTGTGAGCATGGTACAGGATAGGACGAAGTTCATATTTGTTGTTCATACAGAACAACATACTCAATAGGGTCATACTCAACTCAATAGCACCTAACAACACCACAATTCACCTCAACTGAAATAAGGAAAGAAAAAAAAATGGAAAATATCAGCTGACCCATAACAAGCAAAAAGGCTTAATCAAACATCTAAAACCATTAAAAAATAAAGTACTGAATCAGTTGACTTCCCTCTGGAACTCTATCAAACATTCTGAAAAATGGTCTCAATCTTATCTCATTCCTTTGAAGACAGAAACAGTCTTAATTCAATCTATGAAATAAATATAACCCTGCTATCCAAACCAGACACATCGTCAATCAGTCTGAACCAACTTAATTACCCTTCAGAGGTTTTCAGAGGCTGTGAAACTGCATAGAAGGAATCTGCTCATCTTTCTTCCTCAGAACAGCTAGTTGATTCAAGCTACCTGCCTGCCTTTAGAAGGGCAGCTTTTTGGCGAGCTCTGGTGGCCTAGTGGCAAGAAGCTGCACTGCAATCCCAGAGGCACGTGGTTCAAATCCATCAGATGCTCTGCTGAATGAGGGACAATCTCCTCCTGTACCAGTCAGATCCAATTTGACCATACACACACAAATAATAATAATAATAAAAATAAATTAAAAAAAAAAAGAAGTGCAGCTTTTTATCCATTAGGTTACCAGAGTCACTATCCCACTGCATATAGATGAAAAAAATCTCCACCAAACACTAGTGAAAATCCCAACAGACAAGGAAGAATTTGACGTTTCAGTGCAATACATTCGTTAGTACGATTAACTACTAGAATGTAAAGAGTCCCAAACATCTAATTTGTTATATCACTCCACCATTTTCAACATTAACTGTTTCTCCTCCTCCCTGTAGCCCAAACCTCTCATCCATGTTTTTTTTTTTGCTCGGAAATTCCCAGGAAGTTCTGAGAAGCTCAAACAGTTGCAGCTACTTACTTAGCTATTACAGTAGGGGAAGGCCCCAGTACAACCCAGAGGCAGTCCTCTTAGCAGAGCACAGAAGTATATATCACATCCACAAGTGAACCAAGGATGGCAATCTGAGCCATTATTTTTAGTAGGAAAGACTCTCAGG